TGGTTGTTTATAAATTGGACAATACTTGGGTGTTGGCAACTAATACTACTCATTTTAGCTATATTGTAACAATTATTTTGTAATTATTTTAATTTTAAATAAACAATTGAGTAACATTGTTATTGCGTAATATATTACGTAACATTTGGAGGCACTGCCCAGATACAAGTAGATTCTATCTCTGCTTGGGCCGATCAATTTACCTACGTAAGTCAGGCTTTCCCAGGAAAAGCGTGCGGTCGCACGCCTTGTTTGTCCACGGATAGAATAAATTTTTCTGACTAACTGACCACGTTTTATTACTGCGCGTTTCAAGAATTCGCGCCAAAACAAAGCTCAACGAAAATATCGCAAAAATGCAAGCAATCTTAAAGTGAATAACAGAAATCTGTTTGTGCTTTAAAATTAAAAAATTAATGCATATTATTAAAAAAAAAATTTACCTATAATTTATTTATTTATTTAGGGTAGTAGTTATTTAAGCTATGAAAAATCAAATCAATAAGAAAAATCAAATCAAAAAGAAAAAGATTAATGCTTAAAGAAAATAAAAGGACCTTTTAATTTAAAATTTGTTTATGACTTTTATCAGTCAGTAATACTTTAAAATTCACGATAGAACTATAAACAATTTTTAAATGTTTCGTAAACACATTTAAATGTTTAAATGTATTGATTTTAATGTTTGAATGTATTGATACGCAAGAAAACACGAAAACAATTGCTATTTATTAGTAAAATATGTTTTTTTTTTTAAAAAAAAATGAAAAAAAATGTTATTGTCAAACGATTGAGTTGCTTATTTTGCGATCATTAATTGACATTGTGAACGAGTGTTAATATATAATAATGTCCCGAAGGAACTGTTTTCGTAACAATGACAACAGAAGCAATGCAATTATTTTTTTAACTTCTTTCGTAATTACAAAATTATGCAATTGAATAATTTCAACGTAATAAAAGGCGAGCATTGACTCAGTAAAATCAGTTTAGAATAAGTCGAGAACTTTTTTCACATTAAAATTTTGTTATGTTTAAAATCTCAAATAATATATTTAATAATTAAAACAGCAATTTATTTTCTTGTCTAAGTATTGGGGAATAAAGTCATTGCCTTTGCATAAACCTTCGTAAAAACTAAATTAAATGAAAAAGTTTGACCAAATTTGTCTAGCGTAAATAATGAATCAATTTTTTAATACATTGTCTGATAAAGTTCGTGAATAAATTACGTATCAAGTCTTTTTATTTTTGTAAAAACTTTATGACTTATTGTCGTCTTTTCCTTGACTTGTATCAAATTTCGTAGCTGAAAATAGCAAGCCTAATAAAAGAAAACAAAAACAGTATAAATTTTTGAAAAAAATGTTCAAGACTTTTTTTTTTGTTACAAGAATTTTTTTTTTTAATTTTTTTTTATTATCGAAATATTTTTCTTACATCCAATTTCAATTTTATACTTTGTTTAGACTTCGTTTCATTTTTTAAATATTATTTTTTATTCTCTATGGATAATTTCCGCTTTCTTACGAAATATTGCCGCGGTCACATTTTCTGAAAAATTTATTCTATGCATGGACAAACAAGGCGTGCGACCGCACGCCTTTCCTGGGAAAGCCTGGTAAGTAAAGATTAACTTTACTTACACCTCTCAACGACTCCTCCTCCGATTCTAGCGACTCATTAAAACTGTTAGACACCAACCCGTTTAAAACCGAAACCAGTCGTTCTCCAACAAATCCTGAAGTGAAGAATGACATGTCAATTGAGCAAATTTTAGAACGTTTGGCATTAATACCGAGCCAAGAACTACATCCGAAAGTTTTCAGGGGTACAGAAGTAGAAGACATTACTGAATGGTTAGCCAGCTTTCGGCGTATTGCGTTGCACAATCAATGGACAGAGGAAAGGAAATTACTAACGTTTCCACTTTATTTAGAAGGCAGCGCTCTAGTTTACTATGAGAGACTTCCCGCACTTGCTAGAAACGATTACCACGAACCCCAAGAGAAATTCTGGCGACATTACGATAATGCAAATATTGCGTGGAACCGGAAAGCGGAACTGTTTAGCTTGTCACAGGATACCGATCTCACTTCCTACACTAACGTCCTCGATAAACTTAGTCAGCAGTTAGGCATCGATGACTAGACAAAGTTAAGTCTATTCATTAAAGGACTAAAGCCCCACCTGCACGATGCTCTTAAATTAAAGCAACCGTCTGATTATCAAGCCGCAGTAGCTTTTGCTAAGCTCCAAGACTCAATCGTATCGGATTCAGTTATATCTCGATTGGAAGCCAAGCTAGATGCACTTCTTAATCCCCCAAAGCAAACAGTTGTAGCTGCTACCTACCGCGAACACCCAAACTTAAACCAACATATTGGTGAACTACAAACAAAAATAGACTTGTTAAAACAAGGAAATCACCATCGTCCCCAGGATGAAAGATTTCGTCCAATCGGTCGCAACCTACGTACTAGCGATGGGCAAGTCATCTGTAACGGGTGTCTAAGAGTAGGGCACACCAGAAGGTCGTGCTCAGACCGAACTTTACCGCTATCAGAGAAAATGCATTTTCAACATATACCGTCGCAACCTAACCGCTGGAACCATGATACCCGAAACTCGACTTCATTTTGCAATACCCCATCTCCAAATAGACAATTTCGAAATAATGTACCAAGAAACAGTCCACATACGGATAGCCGAGTTCCTGCACTGTACACTAATACTATCGAATTGGATCCAGAAGAGGACCCGTGCTCTGAGATCTGGGGGAAAGTTAATGGTAAACCGGTAATTATTCTTACGGATACGGGAGCGAAGTGTAGTGTAATCGATTCAAGCATTTATGACAGTATAAAGTATAAAGTTGCTGAGCCGACTCCTTATTGCGGCAGACTTGAAACGGCAAAAGGGACGTGAATTAGTATTGTGGGACAAATTTCATGTAGTATTAGAATAGGAAGTAATACGTTTAAACATAAGGTTGTGATTGGTAGGAATCTAACACAACCCCTAATTCTGGGTTACGATTTTATGCGCCGATATAAGGTTGCACTTGACTGTGGGCAACACCTAGTTAAATTTGACAACAAGTTCAGTGTCCCAATGAGAGAAAAGACAGTTCACAATAAGTTTACGACTGCAGTTGGTTGTAAAAAGCCTAATGTTGAGGCGTGTGTCGAAAAACTAAACCGAAAATTATCTCCGACAATTGACTTTCCTTTACCGCAGAGATCCTGCGTTAATGGTATTGCACACACCTGTTTTGAGAAAAATGTTAATAATCAACCACCAAAACTATTAGACGTACCTCATCAACCCGTTCTTGTGCGTCTCATCCATCAACAAGCTCCAAGTAATAGCTCTCAAATTGTACCAGAGAAAGTTGTTCAAAACAAATATAATAGTCAGAAACAAGTGACATTTGAGGATATAAAAACAAATGAAAAAAATACAGATAAAATACAACATAGCTTGCCGGAAAACGAAATTGATGACTTAGATATATTTAAAATGGAGGAAATAATAGGTAAAAGGCAAAGGAAAGGTAAAACGCGATACTTAGTTAAATGGCAGGATTTTCCTTTGACTCAAATTACGTGAGAACCAGAAGAAAACATCTTTGATAAACAAGTAGTGCAAAAATATTTAGAGAAGACAAAAAAAAGTCTACATGTTTCCGCAATAACAAGGGTATCTTCGATTAGACAACAAGATGACAAACAGACCAGAATCAGACTTTTGCCAATTTTTCACATAAACAGATCATGGAATATAATGATTTCCATTATTCTCTCATGCTTACTCATCTTACCTACATTGACGACAGGGTTATTTATTGGTGAAGTTTATGATTGTACAAAGGTGCAGCCTATCGGAGTTTATCATTATTAAAATGGATAATAATGATAAACTCCTATCGGAGTTTATCATTATTATCCATTTTCCATAAGTTTCTAGGTGGTATTAGTGGATTCATTTTGTGGGCAGCAATACTTCTCATAGTAATCTATTTGATTGTGAATAAACCCAATTTCAATTATTAGTTACCATGTCTAAAACCTTTTCAAAAACACTTGGAAAATGAGGCTATGGTGCAGCCACGACAAGATCAGTCCACATCAATGTCCCTTAAAGGAAAAAGACATTCCACGTGTGCCTGCAAGTATCCGGCTTGTAAAGATGTCCATAGAGACTAGAAGATTACTTGTTAACGGTAGTGGCGGGAATTAGGACTTCGATAAATTTCCGGATGGAGACATGGAACGCCTCCAACCACCATGAGTTTCATACGAAGTTAGTTGCGTTTTCCAAATTCATTCTGCTGATTATTCAAGATACTGTTGTTTACAGAAATTTACTGATTCTGCTGATTATTCAATATATTATTGTTTTACAGAGATTTTACTTATTCTGCCGTTTATTTGAGATATTCTTGTTTGCAGTAATTTATTGATTCTGCTGATTATTCGAGATACTGTTGTTTACAGAAATTTACTGATTCTGCTGATTATTCGAGATATTATTGTTTTACAGAGATTTTACTTATTCTGCCGTTTATTCGAGACATTGTTGTGCAGATACTTGTTGATTCTGCTGATTATTTGAGTTTATTGTTGTGCAGATACTTGTTAATTCTGCTGATTATTTGAATTTATTGTTGTGCAGATATTTGTTGATTCTGCTGATTTATCGAGATTTTTATTTTGGCGGAAATTTTGCTTCTAAGTCCAAGAACGGATTTCTTCTTGGTTCGTAAGTAATGTTACGAAGGTTACTAACCATTCAAGCAGAACGCTTGGGTTAGGTGAACCGTGAAGAAGATTTAACATAAACAATATAAACTAAACAATTTGTTAAAGAACCAAAACGCATCTAGCGTCTGAGGAAATCATATAAAAAGGAAAGAGAAGAGAGAAATATATAGATAGAGATATAGATTTGGATAAGGATATGGATAATTAGAGAAAGACGAAAAGAAGAGAGAAGAACGAGAAGATAGTTGGTTGAAGACGATGAGTACAATGAGCAGTTTAATAGAAGTTACTGGTCGTTTATAAATTGGACAATACTTGGGTGTTGGCAACCAATACTACTCGTTTTAGCTATATTGTAACAATTATTTTGTAATTATTTTAATTTTAAATAAACAATTGAGTAACGTTGTTATTGCGTAATATATTACATAACAATATATATATATATATATATATATATATATATATATATATATATATATATATATATATATATATATACGTATATGTATATATATATAATATATATATATATATATATATATATATATATACATATACGTATATATATATATATGATGTTGCCATAGTATTTACATTTGGATGATTAATTTCTAATAATTACGTTTTAATGATTTCATATTTTCTAAATACAACATTTAGATGTTTACATATATAAAATAAATATAAAGAAGTTTGTTTTGGATAAAAATGGCTTCCAGGTAAACAAATAATTTTCAAGTTTATGAAATTTATATAATTTTAAATTTAATAATCTATTTACCTGTTTTTTTACAGTGAATCAAGCCCTCTGCTCAATAAATTAACAATAAAAAATAGTAAATTGTCTTCAAGAGCGTCATTCATAGAAAATAAACATCTTAAAAATGTTTCATCAGATTTAAAACGTGAACCATATGTTTTTAATAAGAATCTTGTGATTAATGATGAAAACACATCAGATTATATAAATCAGGCAGCACAATATAGTCGATACCAGTATTATAATAAGCTCTATGCATTAAACTCAACAAAGTTTGTAAGTTTTTTTAAGCACGTTAACATGTTCAAAAAATTTTAATAGTTGCTACTTTTTTTTTTTTTTCTTTCTATTAGATTATACCAAATCATTTGGTACCTCGAGAACTTTTTTGGCCTCATATAGGTCCAAAAGGTTCTAAACAGTCAAGTATTATTACAATGTAAGTATTATATCAATTAAATAACTTTTGTAATTTTTTATTTTAAATGACTTCTATGTGTGATGGTGATTTGAATTCAGAACAACAACTCTTTTTTAAGATTATTTATAAAACATTTAAGCTAAATTATTTGTTAAATTTAATAATTAAATTAAAGGAACTTTTATTAGATAAATATTAGAAATATAAAAATTTATAGAAATAGTATTAAATGAATAAAAAAATTCAAAATTTCTATATTCTTTTAATCAAATTGTTTTAAAAACAAAAACTAAATTAAATTTTTTTTTACTTATCAATTTTAATCATAAAATAAAGTTGTTGGTTTTGTTTATCAATGTTTATGCGTTGTGAAAAAATGGTGAAGAATTTTTAGTTATAAGATAAAGTTGTGAGTTAGGTTTCATTGTGGGTTAGGTTTTCGTTGTGGGTTAGGTTTTCGTTGTGGGTTAGGTTTTTATTGTGAGTTAGGTTTTCGTTGTGAGTTAGGTTTTCGTTGTGGGTTAGGTTTTTCATTGTGGGTTAGGTTTTCGTTGTGGGTTAGGTTTTCGTTGTGTTTTTTTGTTGTAAGGATTTGATCATCAATGTTTATAAATTGTGAAAAGATGGTGAAGAATTTTATTTCTTTATTTTTAAACTTTTAACAGCTTTGCTATTTGGAATACAATGTTAGGAACTTCTTTATTGAGTCTGCCATGGGGTTTACAGCAGGTAATTTTTTTTCAATACTTTCAACGATTTGTATCTTTATTTTGCCAGTATGTTCTCAGTGTGTTAATTTCAAATGTCAGTTATTATAACTATATATTGAAAAGTAAAAATCTATTTATTGAAAAGTAAAAATTAAAATAACTAATAAAAAGAGTAGCCTTCTCAACTGTAGTGCCCTCCCCTTCCTCCTTGGCCTAGTGGAGCTTGAAATAAAAAAAATTAGGGCAGAGCAGTGCAGTAGTTGTCTGTATTATGTTGAATTGTACAAATGTACAAATTAACTTTGTACATGAGCTATGTACATTTTAAAAAAAGTACAACAGATTTTGATTCCTATGATATTCCTAGTAGTGTGTTTATTCCAGTACTGTGTTTAACTTGCTTTTTCAAGCAGCTTTTTTTTATCAAGGTTTGTGTTTTAGTTTAAGGGAGGGTTGTAACCAAAATTTATATAAAAATTAAAAAAAGAGGAAGATTTTTTTAGAAAATTACATTGTATTGCCTTCTTTGTGGCTTCAGCTGTTTCTTTAGAGTATGCATTTGATTTTTATGAGAATTTTAAACTTATGAGCGGTTCTCCATGAAGACTTGATGGTCTTCTGCAAGTGTCCGCTTTCTTTTTATTTATTAAATCAAATACTTGTATATTTTTTGTTTATTTATATTCTCTAGTTGTAAAATAATTTTTTAATCTTAACAATTTGATTTATTTTTATAATGACTTTTATACTATAAATACATTTTAAGTTTCAAGTTCTTCATCAGGGGTTCTCTGTGACAAGACCTAATGTTCTTCTTTGAGTATCCTCATTATTTATTTATTTTTATGATATCTTCACTTGTAATTTTTTCTTGTATATTTGTATTTGTATCTTAAACATCGTAATGAAGAAAAGAAAAAAAAAAGTGGTGAAGAGAAAAAAAAAAGAGGTGAATATGTAATAATAATAAAAAATCTAAAGATTAAAAAAAATTCCCTTTATCATAATAAAGAAAAGCAGTTAACTTTAGTTCAATAGGAAATATATATATAAAAGATAAATAATTTTCAAAAATTAGAGAAATAGTTCAAATAAAAATTTTTAAATAAATTTACATGCAGAATTTTTTTAATTGATTAAATTAGTTGAATGTGTAATAAATTTATAATAAAATTATATTTAAAAGAAATCTAAAACGATATTTCTTAATTCAATAACAGTACAGTATAATCTTAATTCGGAATCTTCATAATTTGAATAAATGCAAAGTCACCATGAAATTTCCTTACTTGAAGTAGGTATTATGAGTAGATTGTAGTTGTAGGTTGTATGAGTTAGGAAAACATGAAGATGGGAGAGTTCCTAATGATTTATGTGCAAAGAAAAAAACTAGATAAGTAAAAGTTTTTAGAGCATGAAGGGATAGATACAGTAAAATGACGCAACTTTGCTGAATGACAAGTCACCTGAGATTTGGTTGATGAAGCAAATGATGATAGCTCATTTGAGCAGCAACCATGATTTTTAGAATTAGAGAAAGAGATGCAACCTTACAGCAGGGCAGTGGCTCAAGCTTGGCAATAACAGAGATAGTCCAACTACATTTACAATACTATTTTGGACTTTTTCTAGAAGATAAAGAACATCATCAGAAGAACTAGCCCAAATATGACAACAGTATTCCATATAAGGGGCAAATAAGAGATAGACAATAAGGTAGACAATAGAATTGGAAATAAGGAAATCTAACTTTAAGGTACTAACTTTGTAATAGATAGTTTATATGGTTTTAATAAGAAGTCAGTAGTGAATGTGAGAAGATTCAGTGAGAGGCCATTTTGAGTTTAAAGTTTGCCAATTATCAGTATAGGAATATAAACAATATTGGGATAATTGTTTGCAGTAAATAACTGAGTGTTGTTTAAGTCACAAGCTAAATTCACAAGCTACTGGAAATCCTAAGCTGTTAGCTATTCTAAGCAATCAAAATGTGATGTCTTTTTGTCAAGACAAGAGTATATAATCAGCAAATAAAGTAATTTTAAATGTAAGCTTTTCAGGAAGATCATTAATATAGAAGAGGTTCTATCATTGATCCTGTATTGTTTATACAGGACCAATGATAGAACCTTGTTATACCCCAAAAGCAAGTAAATGAAAAAGAGTGTTGGTTTTGAGTAAAGCTTTAATACTGCAGTTAGAAAAAGATATTTTAACAATCTTGGAAACTTTCCCAGATACACCATATGAAGCGAGCTTTTGAAGAAGACCAGTATACCAGACTTTACCAAAAACATTTGGTATGTCAAGAACAATAGCTCTTGCCTCGCTGCCTCCATCTAATTTACAATAGCACATTTCTATTATTTAACAAATCAGTTATAGAACAAAAAGATCAACATCCATATTAATTGTCAAAATTGTTAGAATCAAGATGAAATATTAGAAGATTACTAATTAAAGACTAAAAGAATTTGCAGAGTAGCAAATTCTTTGAGTCTTTTAATTAAAGAATTTTAATTTAAAGAATTTGCAGAATAGAAAATTCTTTGAGTCTTTTAAATAGTAATCTTTAATTACTAATCATAGAGTCTTTAATTAGTAATAGAAGATTGATTGATAGTAGTAAGAAGAAGAAGCTGATTGGACAATAGTTAGATGGGTCAGAGTGTTCTCCAGAGTTTTTTAAAATTGTAATCACAAATGTTATTTTCTAGAAAGCATGAAAATAAGTTTTAGTAAAATGTTAAATAGTTTAGAGAATATTGAAAAGAATTCTAGAGAGAAACAGAGAGAGGTGTTCTGGAGAGAAACAGAGAGAAGTGTTCTGGAGAGAAACAGAGAGAAGTGTTCTGGAGAGAAACAGAGAGAACTGTTCTAGAGAGAAACAGAGAGAAGTTTTCTAGAGAGAAACAGATAGAACTGTTCTGGAGAACACTTTTGTAAAACTATGACAGAAATGTATTCTGGACCACAAGTAGTAGATAAGTTTGAAAAAGAAATAAGTTTAGCAACAAAAGCTTACCATAATTCAAATTGTTCTATAATTTGATAACCTCTAGAATTCAAGGGGATTTTTCAAACCCTCAGTAAGATTGTCAGTCAAGTTTTCATGATTTTATTAAAATACTTGTTAAACTATTGAACTCTCAAATTTTAATCATTTTGAGTTTTTGAAAAAAATTTTTTTTTTTTTTCTGTTTTAAAACATGACACTAGAGGCTGCATAAAGAAAACAGTTTAAAACAGATATATAAAGCCTTTTTTTCTCAAGGAAATTTGAAAAAATAGGTGAAATACTTGGTTCAAACAAATGATACCTGAAATTGCCTCAATAAATATAATAAAAATAAATAGTAAAAGGTTAAGCTTTATATCTTGCAAAAGTTTTCGAAAACTTTCAAGCTTCAGATGGTTACTTATTGGTTGGCTAGACAAATTCAAAAAAAAGTAAATTGAATTGAAACATTTTTTTTTCTCTGCATGTACTTTATATCTATCAAAACCATATCTGTAGTGGCAAAGTTAGTTTATGAACAAATGATTGGTTTATGAATTTCCAATTTTTTTAATGAAAAAAATTTAATGAATAAATGATTGCTCAATGAGTTGAGTTCAATGACTTACTTGGGATGCCCACTTGAAAATATTTTTAATGCTAATGAATTCAACATTTTTATATCAATGTTTGCTTAACAAAAATTTAAATTTAAAAAATGAAAAGTGCACAGCCTTCTAGGTGTTGAAGGTGGTTCTAGTTGTAGAAGGTGTTGAGGTGTCAAAGATGAGAAAAATACTACTTGTTACTATTAGGCATGACCAAAAAGTTGTATGTGGGCGGAATTATTTGAAAAATAGGTTAAAGAAATTGATCAAGAATTTTTTGCTCTCCCAATTGGCAAAGCAAAATACCACAATTAAAGTTAAATTAAATTTTTCTTAACACTAAACTTTTAGTTTAAGTAACATATAGAAATTAAATTTAGTGAAAGCTTATCTTTCTTCCACTAATTACAACATTGATTTTTCTTTTTTAAACCAAAGTTTAAAAAAGAAAAACAAGTATAAAAAACAACTTTCTTTCGTACGAATAGTCCATAATAAATTCTCCTTGATCCATAGTTGGGGTGCTAAAAATTATGACAAGTTTTTACTCAGTAAAATTAAACTTTGAAAAAGTTCTTTCAATATAAGTTTAAATCAGATATTATGGAGATTTAAACTTATGGAGATTTAAACTTTCAAATCAAGTCTAAATCTCCATTATGGAAAAATTCAAAAGTTTTTATTTTTATTATATAGTTTTTTTAATTTAATTTTAATTTTTATAAAAGTATGTTTTATAACTACTATATAAATGAAATTAAAAATATGACGTTAGTGTGTATTAAATGCTGCATTCATATTTGCATCTATATATGTGTATATATATATATATATATATATATGTGTGTGTGTGTGTGTGTATACATATATATATATGTGTGTATATATATGTGTGTATATATGTGTGTGTGTGTGTATATATATATATATATATATTTATATATATATATATATATATATATATATATATATATATATATGTATTTATATATATATATACATATAAATATATATATATATATATATATATATATATATATATATATATATATATATATATATATATATATATATATATATATATATATATATATATATATATATATATATATATATATATAGTATCGGACAAAACAACACAAAACTTAATAAATTAATCAAAAGTATTAAAAAAAGTTGATTTCCTTCTGGACAAAACAAGTGCAACTCCACAAAATGTTGACCAAGCTGTATTTCGCTATCAATATTTCATGGCGAATCCTTTGTTGTCGATCACAGCCTTGCATCTTCGAGGCATGGATTCGATCAGTTGATCAACAAAACTTTGAGGAATTGCTGGCCAGGCTTTTTGGATTTGTTCAAACAGTTGATCCTTATTACGAACACCTTCATGATTAATTCTGCGGTTGACGATCTCCCATAGGTTTTTGATAGGGTTGAGATCCGGAGATTGAGGCAGCCAATCCATCACCAATAGGTGGTTGTCTTGAAACCACTGCTTGACTACTTTTGCAGTGTGTTTCAGATCGTTGTCTTGCTGAAAAACCCATTTTATTGGCATATTCCATTCAGCATAAGGTAACCTAACATCTTTCAGGATATTTTTATACGTGAAACGGTCCATTATTCCATCGATTCAATGTATTGGACCTAGACCGTTAGCAGAAAAATACCCCCAGACCATTACATTGCCTCCACTATGCTTCACAGTCTTATGGCAGTAACGTAAATCAAGGTGTTTTCCGGCCGGTCGCTGTACACAGCAAATGCCATCGCTCCCAATGATGTTGAACTTTGATTCATCACTGAACAGGACAGTTCGCCATTTCTGCACGTTCCAGTCAATATGAAATGTAGCAAACAAGAGTCTTTTCTTCTGGTGAAATCAGCGGTTTCTTTGCAGGGCGTTGAGAAAGCAATCCGGCTTCAACAGCACGTCGCCTGATTGTTCGGTCTAATACTTGCAGCTCTAATTGCTTTTGTATCTCTACTGATGATATCTAGGGATCCTTCTTGACGGATCTGACGATCATAGAATCCTCTCTAGAAGTGGTGTAACGCGGTCTTCCACCTTTGTTATCTGCTGCCAACTTCCTCATAGAACGATATTTGGAACATAGTCTTGATATGGACCATTTTTTTACGCGATATTTATCACAAATACTTTTTTATGACATTCCACTTACGTAATCGCCAATAATTTTCTTTTATAGTTCCAATCCAAGACTGTCGGGAGCCATTTTTGCACTTGAAGTCATAAAAATAGTCACGCTTCTTAAGGCTTATCGTGTTACATTTACCTTGTGATGATAAAATAATGCTCTGTGGAACACGCTGTGTTCCACAGAGCATGTGGTTGGATGTGAACTGTATTGATGTAATGAAACACTTGTTATATTTCACTTTTTGTATTGATGTTCTTCAATAAAACACTTTGATAAAACTCACTTCGATAAACTCTCTTGATAATACTGATTGATTTACTTCCATATACTGACTGAATTATATGTTGGTTTATATGTCTCTTATATAGTAAAATGAACCTGTGTGAACCTGTTCTACAAGATTCTAGATGTTTCTTTTCGATGCTTCTGGAAGCTTCTGGATGCTTCTGAATGTTTCTGGATACTTCTGGATGCTTCCAGATGCTTCTTCTGGAAACTTCTGCATGCTTCTGGAAACTTCTGGATACTTCCTTTAATTATTAAAAAACTTCTGTGAGAAGAAAATGAAACAAACCAAAAAAGTTGCACTTGTTTTGTCCGCTGCAAAATGGCACTTGTCAACGAAATTCTGCCTGTGTGCTGTCACCTCTCAGCTGATTGCTCATGTCATATCATGCTATGACTCCAGACTCCTGAACTGTTTGCTGTGGTAGTATAGTAGATATATATATATATATATATATATATATATATATATATATATATATATATATATATATATATATATATATATATATATATATATATATATATAAATGTATATATATATATATATATATATATATATATATATATATATATATATATATATATATATATATATATATATATATATATATATATATATATATATATATATATATATATATATATATATATATATATATATATATATATATTAGGGTGATGCAAAAAACGACTTTTTTAAAAATAGTCTCCTGCTCTTAACTAAATGTGTTCTATATAATACAAAAACACTAGGTTCAAAGTTTTTTTGAATAAAAAATATTTTTAGGGGTGCCTCAAGACCCTTTAATATTTGACAAGTCCCTAACGTTTTTTAAAAAAAAGTACAAGTCCCTAACGTTTTTGAATAAAAAATATTTTTAGGGGTGCCTCATATTCTTGAGGCACCCCTAAAAATATTTTTTATTCAAAAAAACTTTGAACCTAGTGTTTTTGTATTATATAGAACACATTTAGTTAAGAGCAGGAGACTATTTTTAAAAAAGTCGTTTTTTGCATCACCCTAATATATATATATATATATATATATATATATATATATATATATATATATATATATATATATATATATATATATATATATATATATATATATATATATATATATATATATATATATACATTTATATATATGTTTTTATTTTTTCTATTTCTGAAAAAGTGTTTTGATTAAAGTTGTCATTTTAAAAAGGTCTGCCAGTTATTATAATATATAATATTTTATTGCTTTTTTGTATTAAAGAGTGGATTTGCAATGGGAATTACATTAATTATACTGATGGGAGTAATTTGTTTGTTTACTTGTCTGATGATTGTTAAAAGTCGAAAATATGCAGGTTTGTTGTTTTTGATGTTTTTTGCACCAAATTAATCCTAATACTTTGACAGAATGAGACTTTTATGTAAAATCTTATTAATAAATTTTTGCTTTATATATATATATATATATATATATATATATATATATATATATATATATATATATATATATATATATATATATATATATATATATATATATATATAAATTTATATATATATATAGAATTTTTAGCTTGAACTGCATAAGTATCATTTTTAACTTATATCCAAATGAAAAGGAAAATGTTTATTATTCCATTAGAAAAGTTTCTCTTTATTGTATGGAGTTCTTTCAAATTTTAATTGCTGGTCTAAAGTTATTCTTTCTAATAGGGTACAATTTTTAGTACTATTTTGAAACATTTTAATTAAAATTTTGTTTTTTTCATAACAAATTTGTTTCCTCTAGTTGGATTGTATTGGGAATAATAATAATAAAACTAAATAATAAATAGATGCCATTCCAGTACAATTTTGCAACTTGCAACTTTGAGAAGAATTAAATTAGAGGTTTAAGGTTAAGTTTTTCATTTTGTAGTTCAGAGAAATGCCAAATTAATGGTTACACTTTTTTCAACATCTTCACTTCTTAGAATGTTATATCAAGAAATGAGTATAAAGTATAGAATAGAATGGTAATTGTTTCAAATGATTGAATGGAACATTCAAGATAAATGTTAATAGTTTAATTTTGTATATCTATAAGGAAAAAATGTATAACTAAATTTTAAAATAAATTTCAAATAGTATGAATTTTTAAATTTAAAAAAAAAACTAAAAAATAAGTTGAACAAATCAATCATAAAAAACTTTTTTTTATGATTGATTTGTTTAACTTATTTTTTCTTTATAAAAATATTCATATTTTTATAAAGAAAAAACAATTTTTTCTTTATAAAAATATTCATATTGGTTAAGTATTTATGATAATTGCTTAATCATTAACCTTTGTTTTATTTTTTGTTATAAATTATAGTAAATGCTATGCTGCAGTTTATTTTTAATATATATTTTTACTGTATAATTTAAACATCGACAAATAAATATTAAGTGTACTCTGTACTTTTTTTATAATTAAATTAATAAAAGCTTATATTTTATAATCAACTTCAAAAGATAGTTTAACTCTATAAACTAAAATTTAGGGCCAACGTGAGTAGGTGTCAAGTAGGGGTGCCTTAGAGCTTTTGCTAACTTGAGGTAAATAGTCTCATAATAATAACCTCTTACTGTTTAAAAAAAAATGCAGATAAACACAATGATAAAATTAAAAGAACAAACAAGCATAAATAGCACTAATACTTGTTTAATCTTTTTGTGACAAGTGACTCATATGGCGGTTCATAAAATTTTTTTCTAAATGACGAATGACCCGCATGGTGCTTCATAAACTATTTTAAATATTTAAAAAGATCTACAGCAATTGAGGAAACTTTAAACTTACCTTTGAAATGTGAATAATTTCTTATGCTAATGCTTCAAAACATTTGTTAATTGCATTTATAGATTGCTCAAAAATCAATTTTAAAAAACAACTTAAAATACATTAAATTATATTTTAATTATAAATTATATAAATGAGATCCTTGATATTTTTTCCAATGATAGTGGTGGAATTTTTTTTTGTTTAGTCACCACTATAAATACCTCATTTATTTAATATCGAAAATGATATGTTTATGTATTTCTTTATTTGTTTAAGGTTACATAAAGAAACTATATATTTTTGTTAATTTCAACATGATATATTTTGATCACAATTTTTTATTATCTTACTAAGATAATAAAAAAAATTTTAAAGTTTCTGAAAGTCAATTCTTTAACAAAAAAAAATTCTTATTTGTAAAATTGTGACGAGCAGTTTTTGTTTTATACTCTTTTAATTGATCATGATTCGTTATTTTACACGCAGTCATGTAGCTGTTTTTAACTTAGTCGCGAAAGGGTTAAGATTGCTGGTTTGATAAGAGTTGTCTTGTATTGTCTTGTATGTATCTAATAGGTGTGTTGGAAACCTCCACAAAGGAGTCACTTTTATTATAAAGCTAAACTTTAGTGTGATAGGCAGTACACAAATATTTGAGAAATCATAAATTTATTATTGTGATAATAAATTTATGATTTTCACCACATCATATGTGGTGAAATCTTTAGCAAGTAAATAGAAAGAACAAACTATTGTTGCTTCTCTTTGGTAGAAAAATTTTAAAGCACATAGAAGAAGAATCTAAGAAGAGGGTTATTGTTGATAGACTGGCAATACTGGTGTAGTGGTAGAGCGCTCGCTTCATAAACGAGTGGTTCCGAGTTCGATCCCCACCACGTCCCTGGTAGTACTGCGCTCAATTCGTTTCTCCGCGCAGCGGCCTTGCTCGTCAAGGTTCGTGTTTCGGAGTTATAGAGTTGTGAGAGGGTTATAACCACAAATAAGTAGCCTCCTCGTCTGTAGTGGCCTTCTCGGCCTTGAGGAGGTGAATCAAAATAAAAAAAATAAAATATATTAGTTACTAGTTGTGAGTTTTAATCAAATAATTGTGTGAATTAAACTCACAACTAAAATAAAAATGTGGCTGTTGTACTCCAAAATCAGTCTTTTTAAATATCTGAGAATATCATTGCTATGTGTGTTTACATGTCAGTTTTTAACACAGGAAAAAAAAAATAAAATAAAAACAGGAGCATTTCTAGCCCTAGAAATGCTCCTATTTTTGTCAAAGTTTTGGGACAACCAGTTCTCTTGTTCTTACGTTAGCCCCACATTGCTGAGATCCATGTAAAATGGGGCACCAAAGCTATTTTTAAAAAGCAAGCTGTTCAACCTTCTAAACATGTAGTAGTAAATTACCTTGAAGCATACAAAGCTGCTGAAATTACCTTAAAAGATTGGAATTGTGATGTTTGTATTGCTTTGTTAAAAAGTCTTGACAGCTCTACAAGTTCTCAAGATTTTTTACCACATACAATAACAACATACCACATACATACAACACATACCACATACCAACAACAACATACCACATACATACAACACATACCACATACCAACAACAACATACCACATACATACAACACATACCACATACCAACAACAACATATCACATACATACAACACATACCACATACCAACAACAACATACCACATACATACAACACATACCACATACCAACAACAACATACCACATACATACAACACATACCACATACCAACAACAACATACCACATACATACAACACATACCACATACCAACAACAACATACCACATACATACAACACATACCACATACCAACAACAACATACCACATACATACAACACATACCACGTACCAACAACAACATAGCACTACCAACATCTCACTTTTAATTACACATTTCTCTTTTATTCTTACCAATATCACTAGTGCATGCCACAACCTGAACTCATGCTAATCAAGTCCTGAGATGTTAAAAAATAACTGTAATCAAGTGATTCAAGATGATTTAAGTTTTTTCAATGTTTAATAAAGCTTAGCATTTTCTTTACAATAAAGTTGAAAATGTTTCGTTTTCAAGAAAACTCATTTTTTTCTTTAAAACTCGGTTTACTAACTGTTCCCAACATAGTAAAAAAAAATTTTTAATTTTTTTTTTTTAGGTGGGGGCACAGGTAGAGAGGGGTTTTTTATATGATGTATAATAATAGATAGAGGAAACCTTTTTAAGTTTTTGAAACTATCATTATGAATCAAGTGAAATTTATTACTGGCACTTGTTTTTGCCTTATTTTTGTTTTATTTTGTTCAAAATACTTAAAAATTCATTTTTATTAATTTTAAGTGGAAAAAGAAAATGTTGAGTTTATTGATATTTGTGAAAAGTATCTTGGAAGTATTGGAAAGTTTGTTGCTTTTATTTTTGGTCTTGCTGCTTTTATTGGTGCAATTATGGTGTATTGGGTGCTTATGTCAAACTTTTTGTTTAAAGTTGGTGTTTTTGTTCATGGTAATTTAAATAGTAAAATTTTTTTTAAAAAATATGTAATTTTAACATTTTTAAGTTTATTACTTTGTTTTATTTTAGTAAAGGTGTCAATGGAAAATCAAGAATTGGTCCAAAATTACCATGGAAAAGTTGTAACAGATCACAGTGATGTATCAGGCAGTGCAGGTTTAATATTTTTAGTTTTTATAATAATAGTTATAATTTTGTATTGGTATCAATAACCCTAGTATCAGAAGTTTTAAGTTGTATTAATGGTAGTTTTCTCTGCAAACTCAGCCAAAAATATTTCAGGGACAAAAGCAAATTTCTTCAAGTCAATTTTTACTTTCTGTCAAAATTACTTGTTTTGTTTTTTATTATTTTAAAATACACATATATAGTTTAAAAATTAAACCAGCAGAGCTTAACTTCAAGAAATATATTTTTAAAATAATTTATAACAATGTTTTACAAAATATGATTTGTCATTGAAAATGCTTTATTAAATTTGTCACCATTGTCACACTTATGCAACACCGCAAAATGTAATTGAATGAATTGAGTATTTTGTTATGCTAACCAGCTTCATATGTTTGCAGTTATTAAATTTTTGGTAGTAAATCAAAATTTATGAATCTAAATTTGAAAAAAGTTAAAAACTTTATTGAAGTTGTGATAGTGTTAACAACTTATTTTAACAATCTTGAAAACAAATCTTGTAAATGTCATGATTGCACATAATGTTTTCAAAAATGAATATAAAGTTTAATATGAAAACAATCATAACATGTATCTAGTGTTTGGCTTTATGTTTTTTTGCCTTTATTTTTGTGCCGTAACTTTACAGTTAGGACACTAAAAATCTTATTTTTGTTTGATGTCAGTCCAACTTACATTTCATGTATCTATTTTCCACCCTGTACAAGCCTTCCCAGGAAAGGCGTGCGGTTTTTCGTCTTGTATGACCACATGCAAGTATCTTATTTTAGACAACTTGAACACAGCCATTTGAAAGTTTTATAATAATCAATGCTGAAAAAGTTTCAAAAACAAAAAAAACAAAACTAACAAAATAAAAAGAGATTAAAATAGAAAAAAATAAAAACCCATTAATAGTTTAAATTAGTTGTGTACTGTTTTTATTTTTGTTTTTTAAGAGCGATTGTTATATTCAGCAACAAAATTAGATAAGGCGAAGCAAAAAAAAAAGTTTGAAGTTACAAATAAAAAGAATGATTTTCCTTTTCTTAACTTTTTTTAAAAGTACAAATTGCAATGTGTTTGTAATGTTTATTTGTATAATTTTAATGTAACAACAAGGGTTGAATTAAGCGAATGCGAAACGCAAAATTTGGAAAAATATCTAGTATTCAAAAGGCGAAGGTGTATTTGATTCACGAAGTTAGGGAGAGTGGCATTTCTTAGTTAATTTCAATTAAAAAATGGCTAAAATAAATCATCGTTTTAATGACACATGAATCAAATACACCTCCGCCATTCAAAATTTTAGTTTATACAAAACCGTGTTCCTTGTTTTTAAGGGGAGAATCAACTTAAATTTGTTAGCGGAAAAATAAAAAATAAAACAATAAACTTAGGATTACAAAAGTAATAACACTCTAGTCACTAACAAAAGTAATAACACTATAATAGTGTTATTACTTTTATAACCCACTTATAACTTTTCATTCACTTATAACTTTTTCAAATTCATTCTTTGTTCAAGCAACATAAGTATTCCCAAATTTTAATTGAACTAGAAAAATATCTAGAAGAATAAAGTGGATGTTCAAATAATATTAAAACTTTATAAAAAAGCATTATGAAAAACGTTACTAATGGACCGTAAAAACGCGCATTAGTTTTAAAATTAACCAATAAATATTTTTTATTGGTTGATTGTAAAATTAATGCGTGTTTTTACATAAAGTTTTTCATAATGCTATACTTTTCATAAAGTACTTTTTTATAACGTTGTTTAAGTGATCAGTGAAAGTTCCTGAAATTTTTAATAATATTTGAATATCCGCTTTATTTTTTCTAGATGCTTTTTTACTTTAATAAATGTTTGGAATTAATAATGTTGTTTGAATAAAGTATGAACTTTAAAAGTAGTAAGTGGTTTATAAATGTAATAACACTATTATAGTTTTATTACTTTTATAATGTAGTTAGTGACTAAAGTGTTATTACTTTTGTAGTCATAAGTTTATTGTTTTTGTTTTTTGTAACTTTCTCGCTAGCAAACTTTTAATAATTTGCTCCTTATAAACAAAGTACTCAGCTTTGCATGAACTAAAATTTTAAAGACCTAATATTTTACCAGAGTTTGCAAATTGTGTTCTATAAATTAACTCTTGATATAAACTTGTTACATTGTAAATATAGAAATATATTTTACAAACAGATGACGATACATATTTTCTCTTTCCTCTTTAAAAGAAAAAACACATAAAATATGGGAAAGTTGTCCTTTTTAACGCCTAAAACTGTTTTGTTTTTTTGTTTTTTTTCTCTTTTTTTTTGCTTTGACTTACTGAATTTTGTTGCCAATAATAATAACCACTAAGAAATAACAAAAATAAAAACAACACACAAATTATTTAAACTATTGTTATTGTTTTCTATTTAAGTTTACTTTAATTTCTTATGTAGTTATTAAAATTTAAAACAATTTTTCAGCAACCCATATAATAAAACTTGCGCAAACAGCCGGATCATGTTCTCTAACTTGAAAAACGTTTTTGTGGTCGTACGAGACGAAAAACCGCCCACCTTTCCTGGTAAGGCTTGCTGTACACATCAACGCATAGCTATTTTTCTTAGAATTGTCACAAATAAAACAATATAAAACCTGTTCAACAGCCACTAAACTTGATTTCAATGTGATTTTAAATTTAATTAGATAGATAATAATTAGTCCGTTTTGTAGTAATTAGTCCGATTGGTGGCTGTTTCTTTGGTTTTGGAACATTTGGTGTTTTCACTGTTATATTTTTAGTATTTGTATTTTTGTAGACAGAACTCTTGGCACGAATAATATTCTCAATTAGTGAATTATGTTAAATAGAATCAGTTCTTTCTGGTTTTGGCAATTCAATATTTTCTAGCTCTGCTCTGTCTTATTTTTTTAATGGAAATATTGGAAACAAAAATGACAACCATTTGTAGCAATTGCATTTCAATTCTGAATAACAAGATCACAGTGGAGAGCACATCCAGCATTATGATGAAGAGCTCATTCAACATCACACTGAAGACAATCACAAACAAATCCAACATCACAGTGAGATTCTAAGATTTTTCAGTTCTGAATCACAAGCACATCCAACATTGCTGTGAAGAGAGCATCCAACATTACAGTGAAGAACGCATCCAACATGTTAAAGAGCACATCCAACACGTTATAGAGCACATCCAACATCATGGTGAGGAGTACATCCAACATCATGATGAAGAGCATATCCAACATCATGGTGAAGAGCACATCAAACATCACAGTAAGGCAACTTTATTCTGAAATATTTCAATTCTGAATTACAAGCACATCCAACATCATAGTGAAGAGTACATCCAACATCATGGTGAAGAGTACATCCAATATCACGGTAAAGAGCCCATCCAACATCACAGTGAGACAATCACAAGCAAATCCAAATAGGCAAGTCCAATTAGGCTCCAATTAACACACAAAAAGTTTTTTTTTTTGAAATTCCACCCATCTCAGGTGCAGCTTTGCGGTAAGGGGTGGTTCCATTAATATAAACTTTTATCTTTTGTACATTAATTCATAATTGTTATTTTTTTAATATCTTGCAATTTTAAATATTATCTTATAATATCCTTATTTGACAAGGTTTAAAATAGCATAAGTTACTTTTATAATTTACAGCTTAAGTTATAATTAAAAGTTTAAGTTGCAGTTATAGTGTAATGAGATTGTATTTAATACTTTTATGATGCTATTCTTAATAGTTGTTATTACTTAACACGATACTTTAAAAAAAAAAGTAACAACACAATATTTAAACCACTTTAATTAGTTATAAAAAACTATTTAATACCTCCATTTATGCTGGCGATAAAACACGTTTTATTTTTGTGTTAAATTGTTATTGTAAAAAACAATAAAACAACAGTAAAACAGTACTGCAAAGTTGTTTTGTCATTATTTGTGTTAATATAAAACAATTTTGTGACTGTTTTATTACTTTTTTATTCAGTTTATAGCATAAATAACATTGAACAAAGCTTTCTCTGGAGACGCATGTGGTTGCACACATTATATTACCAAGCAAACAATATATTTTTTTGACAACTTGGCGATGGTTTTTTGCATTTATTGATAATTTGTATGTTTTTTTAAAGTTAAAAAAAAAAACTCATTTAAAAGATAAACAAACAATAAGCTGAAAAAAGAAATAAACTTAATGAATAACAAAAAAAGGATAAACCAGAGAAAATAAAAGCATAATATTAATATATTTTTTTATTTAATTCAATTAATAGTTCAAACTTAATTAATTTAATTTAAAAGCATAATATTATTAGTTTAAAGCTAATCATTTTTTCCATATCGCCACGTTGATGCTTAGGTTAATTAAATGTGTCATGAGGTGCGATTGTTGTATCGGCATTAAATGAGTATTCAAATCCTACTAACGGATTTTCTAATATTTCAGTTGCTTTGTAGATGTATATCAAAGATATATCAAAGTGAATATATCAAAGTTTCAAATTTTTTAAATGATTTAAAAAAAAAAATTTTAAATTTTAAATAATAACTTTCAAAATATTTAAGCTTAGATTAAATAACTTTGAAACTTTGATTTTTTCTAAATTCTTTGTAGTGAAACTTTGTAGTGAAACACTTTTAAATCCGTAGTAAAACTTCGTAGTGAAACACTTTTAAATTAATATAAAAATAATATTAATTTGATGCTTTTATTTTTTCTGGTTTTTTATTCATTTTATCATTTGTTAAATTTTTTTTTTTTTTTTTAGTTATTGTTTCTCTTTCCAGTTCGTAGTTTGTTTATTTTTAATTTTAGTATAAGTTTGTTTATTCAGCGCATTTTTTAAACCCGCTAACATGCAAGGAGCTATGGCCAAGTTGTCATAACAAAATGTATGCATAGTCATATGTGGCCTGTTGCTGCACACATCTCCTGAGAAGACTTGTTAAACGTGTTTAAAATAAAACTAAGTAAATAAATAGAATTGTTCTAATTAATAAATTAAAACATTATTGTCATAAAACTTTAAACTTCATATTTGCACAAAAACACGCTGTATCTGTAGACCAAACAAGTAAGATCAAAGAAAACATTAGATACCATGTTTTTTTCTAACTAATTGCATCTTGATTTAGTGTACTATTAAAAATTAATGTATAATCAATTCTTTTATTCAAATGGTTTTTATGTTGATATTTTCAAATTTAATTTTGAAATTTAATTTTAAAATAGAAGTAGGATATTATCTTGATACAAAAGAGATCATAGTTCTATTTAAAAGCATGATGTACTTTTTGATCCCTAATAAAAAAACTTTTTATTAGGGGTCAAAACACAAAAGCATTTTATACTTTTAAAAATGAACAAAAAAAAAGAATAAAAAAAAAGGTGAAAATTAAAAAAAAAAACTAATTGCAAAGATGTGAATACGCTTAATTCAAACCCTGATAGGGAAGCTTGACTATGGGTGCCTCCAAAATGGATATTTTAAATTTCTATCCATACCCACAAAACCATTTTTTAGAAAAATCAAAATGTATTACACACTCATTAGAATCTGTAAAGACTGTATGCCAACACAGGTCTCTATAAACCTGGTACTCTGTCCATAAGTTGAAAACACATACACAGGTCTCTATAAACTTGGTACTCTGTCCATAAGTTGAAAACATATACACAGGTCTCTATTAACTTAGTACTCTGTCCATAAGTCGAAAACATATTTTCTGAAATCTTTAAATTCTATACGAAATAAAGTTACAAGCTCTGTCATTGTACCATGAAGTTCAAGATTATTACAAACCTTTGACTTAGGTTTACAAGCTACTTATTATTAAATGTCTTTATTTTTTTTTTCACATTTTTATGTCTTCTTTTTTTTTTTTTTTTTTTTTTTTTTCACCATTACACTGCAAGATTTTCAACTGATTCATTTTATCTACTAGAAAGACAAGGTTATTATGTCTTTTACACAGTCAGGTATAACAGTCTTTTATGGTTGGTTTATGCGCCCAGAATGGACAAAGCTTTGTAAACAAAGTGTAACTTAAGATAATAACCTTTAAGTGAATTGTATCCTTGTGATTGTGAAAACCTAAAATCTGTCTCAGTAAATTTTCTCAAATGTTTGAAAGAAACTGTTGCTTTCTTACAAACTCCAATTAGTTAATTTTTCCTCAAATACTTCATTTGAAGTGTATATACAAGAAGACTTATCTGTTGGTGAGAATATTTTTCTCTTATTCCAACAACTAGAGCATTATGGAAAAACAAAGTTTTTCTCAATTTGCTAGACACATATACATTCTGCAACACCTTGTTTTAGATCTAGGTGTATTGCTATTAATTTTTATTGTTTTAGATCTTTGTTTTAGATTTATTTTGCTATTAATTTTTATTATTTTAGATCTTTATTGTTTTAGATCTTTGTTTTAGATTTAGGTGTATCACTATTAATTAAAAGCAGCCATGACGGAGTGATTAGAGTTTTGGCTCAGAACCCAGAGGTCCAAGGTTTGACGCCTGCTCCAGCTAAACAAGCAACATTGGTATGGGGGGAGGCATGAATTTCCAGTTAAATGCTCTCCCGCGGTGGTCTGTGATAAGACCATAAAGACTTCTGGGAGCACCTAAATAACTAAAAAAAAAAAAAAATTTATTCCTCTGCAATGGCTTTTTTAATTTTGTTAACTCAGTTCAACTTTGTTTGGTGTGTAAATGCATTTCCCTTTCAACTTGTGACCAACTTATTTATGATGAATAAATTTTATGAGTATTGATGTTAAATAGTCAATTGTGAGCAATTCTAGAACACTGTGTTCTTGCTAAGAAGCTATACACTTTTTACAGTTATCTCTGGTTTCTTGTTGACATATTATTAGTACATTCTTGTTTCACTCTGTACTTCTAACAGCTTCTTTGTATTCTTTATGTAATTCTGTATTTGCTTTTATGTTTTCCTGGCACTTTTATTATTTCTCTTAAAGGTTATTTAATCCATGCTTATTTACTTCAAAACTTAATTATATAAATGCAAATAAAGCATTAAAAAAATAAGATCTGTTAAAAGAACATGAACCCACATTCAATACTAACAGTTGCATCTTATATATAAAAACATTAACTTATCCTATATCCATAAATAAAACTTATCCTAAGTATATTAAATCATTACACTTGTGACATAAAACTATTAATTGAGTTTTAAATTAAAAAGTTGTTTGAACTAATAAAATGCTTCTAAATTTGATAAGTATTTATTTTATGCTTTTAATTTTACTGATTTATCTTTTATTTATTTTTTTGTTATTGGTTAAGATTTTGTTTCTTTTTTCAGTTTATGAATTGTTTTATTTTAATTTTCTCTTCAGTTTAGTTTGATTTTTTAAATTTTTTGAACGCCATGAAATACTTTAGTTGAATTTTTTGAACGCCATGAAATACTGTACCTGATAATGTACATAAGGGAATATTCTAGAAAGCTTAACGTACTTGATTCGATACAACAATTTATATGAATATTTTTAAATATACTTTTTATAAAGTTAAATAGAAAGTCAGAAATGTCACATAGTTGAATATGTCCAAATTTAATTAAACATAATTTAAAAAAATGATGTTAGCAAATAAAATTTTAATAGCTCCAAAAGTTATAATTATGTCACCACAATCTTAATCAGTCACCATCGTCACCTATGTTGTTGTGATGCTAATGATTATGGTGGAGGTGACAAATTGCATTCTTAGCTCGTCATGTGAACTTATCTGAAAATCAGCTGGGTTATTCATAATGTTAAATGAGACAGTGAGACAGTGAAAACCATACTCAGCCATCTTTGAACAGCAAAATTTATAAATGTTTGCTATAATAATTATTATAATGATATAAAATAATAATTTTCAGAACAAAAAAGTTGTTTAAGGTCTTTTTAAAGAACAAAAAAGTTTTATTACTTCATGATATTGATGTAAAATTTTATGTATAGTTATGTGTTATATTCCCAGTATATTGTTTTCTTTTTTTATTGTCTTTTTTCTTCAAAATATTAAATAAAATGCTCAATGTACATTTTTGCAGAATCGTTTTTTGAAAAGATAATTTATTAAAATCTAAGTTTTATTAAAATCTTAGTTTTACATTAAAAATGCTTTTTCTTAAAACTATAATAATAATATGCTTCTTTTTTCTACATATACAACCTTGTGTTGCTTAGATAAATGTATCAATATATTTTTGTATTGTTTAAATTTATTTATGCTGCTCTTGAGTTATTTTTCCTAACAAGCAGAACCTAACCTATTTGATGCTGGTATTCTGTGGTGCTTAAACTAGACTAAACAATAAAAACCCACAGAGAAATATGAAACATTTCTATTGAAAAACTTTTTTTATAAAGGAGAATAAGTAATAAAACAAAGAAAAATGAACAGATGTTCAGAATAAACACAGATTTATTTTAAGGATAAAAAGCTTATACACAAATCACAGTCATCAGTAATTTTATTGTATCTAAGGCAAAAAAAACACATAAGCAACATATATATAAAAAAAATAACCATAAATATTCATAAAAAATAAAAAAGTTTAACTTACTTTAAAACAAATATTTATACATAGTTTAGCTTGTCAGATAAACACCATCAGCATTTATGCTTTACCCTGCAATTTACACCTGCTCCATACAGTAGTACAAATTCTTTGGGGACACATATGAGTCATAAATCAGAGATTTTTCCATACACAGGTATTTAAATGATTTTATAGGACTTTAATACAAAAATTTTTCAAAAAATACTTCTACAATTATATTAAACATTTAATGTTTCAAAGAAAAAAGACAATTAAAAAAAAGTCAATATACTGAGAATATAACACATAACTGTACATAAAACTTTTATATCAATATCATGAATAATAAAAAAATTTTGTTGTTAAAAAGCTTTTTTTGTTCTGTTAATTATTATATTTTATTATTATATAGCTAACATTTAGAAATTTTGCTGTTCAACGATGGCTAGTTTTTTCACTGTCCCAACAACAACTTATAATTTGTATTGCACAAAATAAGTTTAATATTCGTGTATTGTTTAAATTTATTTATGTTTTTTCTTTAGTTATTTGCCCTAGCAAACAGAAAAGTATTAATTACACAACTCCCTCACCTAATAAAAGTATGTTCTACAAATATTGGAACAAAGAAAAATGGATTCCTTTATATCTTATACCTCTGCTTCTCCCTCTTTCTTGTTTCAAATCTCCAACTTTCTTTACAAAGTTTAATGCTGCTGGTATTTGTTACTCTTTTTTTTAAATTTATTTAAATGATTTTGATGTGTAATTTATGAAATGAAATGTGTTGATTTTAATATGTAAATTATGGAAAAGTTATAGAAAATAAGTAAAATATGTCCAACTATCTGTTATCAAATTTAGGAACAATTTCTGTTATGTATATTTTGGTGTTTGTAATTACAAAAGCTATTACTTGGGGTCCTAATTTGCATTTTAATCCTTCAAATGACATAGAAGCATCTCAGTGTGAGTTAATTTTTTTTTAGATCATTTATAAGCATCATAACTAAATTCATTTATTAAGATTTAATTATTATTATTATTTTTATCTTTATAGTATACAACAGTGGTTTCCCTGCATTGGCAGGAATATTAGCATTGGCTTTTTACATTCACAATGCGATTCTATCAATACTTTCAACCAACGAAAAACCTGAAAACAATGTAATTTTGTATTTTTTTACATATATTTTTTTTTAATTCTATTTCATTACCATAAACAAATGTTTATAATGTTTTTTCAATATTCAATTTAACATAGCATGACAACTTGCAAATTTAACTTTATCATAATCATTTACATTCAAACTTGAATTATTACTATAGAGCGCTCGCTTCATAAACGAGTGGTTCCGAGTTCGATTCCAACCACGTCCCTGGTAGTACCGCACTCAACTCGTTTCTCCGCGAAGTGGCCTTGCTCGTCAAGGTTCGTGCTTCGGAGTTATAGAGTTGAGAGAGGGTTATAACCACAAATAAGTAACCTCTTCGTCTGTAGTGGCCTTCTCAGCCTTGAGGAGGTGAATTAAAATTAAAAAAAATAATAAATATATATATATATCAAACCCTTTTTTTCGTTTTTATGATTTTACACAATTTGTTTTTGTTTTTTGGCATGGAAGATTTTATTTGTCTAAAAAAATAAAAAAATATTGAGTAAAAAAAAACATAACTGTTTTGAGCTACAATATTTAAAAATTGGCAAACTTGGGTGTTTTAACTATAATCATTTTTCAATAAAATATTTGATAATTTTAAACATTTCAATAGAATATTTTTCAATAAAAATTTGGTTTTATACTTGTTAAAAATTTATGTTTGTAATGTTAATGCTACAAGAATATATATAGGTAACAAGCTAAAGTATAATGATTGTATAATATATAGTAATGTGTATAGTATACTCTTATTTTACAATTGCATTAGAAGTTTTCTTTTATGTCAATTTATTTTTTATAGCTCATAAAATATATAATTATTGTACATAATTTTAGTCAAATAAAAGCCCATGTAAAAATTGGCTTGAAAATATAGATGTAATGTTTTCTTATATTTTATTATCTGTAAAATATCTTAGTCTGAAGATAAACTGCAAAATCGATTTTTCTGCATTCATCAATTTTGTCTGATGAACAGAACTGCTAAATCTTTTCAATAGCCTGGTCTTTTTATAGCAAACCACATTTTTTAGCAAACATCTATATACTAAGTCTAATATTTTACTTTTTTCATTAAGTGAAATAGTTACTTGTCTAAATAGTATTAAAAAAAAATTTTCTTCAATAAGTGTCATTTAAAAATAGATTTTCATATAATATAAATTTCTTCAACACAAATGTTTTAAACATCACATCTAACCAGTATGCAGAAATGATGTGTTTTTTTTCGCAGTCTTTTGCATTACATCTAACTAATATGCAAAAACAATGTAATAAAATTGTTAAATATTGATAACATTTAAGAAATATGAAAAAAATGTTAAGTAAGATGTCCAAAATTTTTTTAAAATTTAAAATTTGGTTTTTGTTAAACCTGACATCACAATTTGCTACAGATAGTTCATATTTTTCTAGAAATTAATCAAACAACGAGTCAAATTTTATTCTAAATGAACAATTCTGGATTTGTTCTTTTTTTATTTTTAGTACTTGGCACACAAAACTTATTTTAAAAGTTTCTTGACTTTTTTTCTTATTTGTTTATTGAGCTTGTAGCTGAGATGACTTGTTTCAATGTTCAAAGATCTCTAACAGGAAGATCATCTGGTAATTCTAAAAAATGAAAACTTTTATGGTGAGTTCTACTTTGCAGTGACTCAGCCCATTTTAAATACCTGATATTTGGAAGAAGGCTAATATAATGCCTATATTTAAACAAGGGAGTAAGTTAAAACCAACAAATTACATCTCAGTATCTCTATCATCAATGCCATGTAAAATATTAGAGAGAATAATTGCTGATAATATAATCAAGCATTTAATAACAAACAAGAGTTTGCGATTCAAGCTTGGAATCCCTATTATAAAAAAGATATCAAAGAACTTGAAAAAGCTCAAAGAAGAGCAAGTAAATTGATACCAGAATTAAGACATCTGAGATAAAATCAAAGATTAAAAATATTAGATTTAACAACTTTAGAAGTTCAAAGACTAAGAGGTGACCTTATACAACATAAATTATATAAAGGTTTTGAATCTATTGATATGAAGAACATCCAGATTCAAATGCATTCAATCAATACACCAGGTCCAGCATCCAATATTAGAGGTTATAAACATCGTGTTAAATCAGAGTTTGTTAAAAATTATTTATGTAGACAACACCTCTTTACAAACAGGGTTGTCTTTGGATGGAATAATTTACCGGAATCAGTAGTGGAGTCTACATCAGTCAAAGAATTTAAATCCAGACTTAAATTGATTGACTTGCAGATAATTTTTTTTTTTTTTTTTAAATTTTAATTCACCTCCTCAAGGCCGAGAAGGCCACTACAGACGAGGAGGCTACTTATTTGTGGCTATAACCCTCTCTCAACTCTATAACTCCGAAACACGAACCTTGACGAACAAGAAAAAATAATAATATTAAAACTATTGTTTTAATTATGTTACTTATAAATATTTGCAATATTTACAAATAATATTATTTATTATTATTATAAATATATAACAAGAAACTATATAAATATAAGAAGAAAGAAATATATAACAAGAAAAAATAATAATAATAAAACTATTGTTTTAATTATGTTACTTATAAATATTTGCAATATTTACAAATAATATTATTTATTATTATTATAAATATATAACAAGAAACTATATAAATATAAGAAGAAAGAAATATATAACAAGAAAAAATAATAATAATAAAACTATTGTTTTAATTATGTTACTTATAAATATTTGCAATATTTACAAATAATATTATTTATTATTATTATAAATATATTATTATTAATATATTTATAAATAATATCATTTATAAATAAGGCAATATTTACAAATAATATTATTTATAAATATGGAAATATTTACAAATAATATATATAAATATAGCAATATTTATAAATAATATTATTCATAATAACTCCTACTCCTTTATAGTTGTTCTTAAGTGATGCAAATTGAGTTATATATGTATTATTGAATAATATTATAAAATAATAAAAAAAGGAAAGTGTCAATTCTTATAATTTATTTAATATAAAGAACCTGATTAATTATTTTATTTTTTGCTGCAGTTGACTCTCAATCTAAACTAAAGTTTATTGTACTAAAGAGTCTCTTGATTGGCACTAGGTAAGCATAACACTAAATGTGTTGTGCTTACTCGCTGATTGGCTAAAAAGTCATTGGCACTAGGATTCCTGCAAATAGTCAAGCTCTTGTGTCAAAGATTTAAACAGATCATCATCAGCTTTTGCCATTTGCCATTTTCATTAACTGATACTATACTTCTTTTAAACCATTAATGACAGTCTCCTTTGACACAGCATTCAAAAAAGAAATGAGATCTTTCATTGTTTAACGAATATAAATTATTATTGACAGCTTTTATACAAAGACACAATTTTGTAACAATAATGAGCTTTAAAGTTTTGTTTTACACTTTCATCCATGAGCTGAAGGACAGATGTGGTGTTAGGGGGAAGAAATATCAGATTAATGTTGCTTAGAAACTTCTACTTTCATGTAGAAACTTCTGGTACAAAGTTATTTTTGATTCATATAATATCCATATATTTTTATTTGAGAAAAGTTTATGGTTTATTTTTGAGAAAAGTGGTTATTTAACAAGTATTTTATTATAGGTTCGCGATGTTAGCATAGCATATATTCTTACTGGTTGTATGTATTTTACTGTAGCAGTTGTATTTTATTCCTGTTTTCCTTTGGATAAAAGTTGCATAGAGCAGGTATTTTTTTGTTATTTACTTTTTCATAACTACTTTTATTCAATTCATATAATTTAATTTTTTTTATAAAATGTTTCTAAAGTGTCTTTTATAAAATGTTTCTAAAATGTTGTTGTTGTTTTTTTTGTATAAAGTATAAAATATTTTTATTTTGATTTCAGGTTTTCCTTGACAATTTTCCATCAACTGATATCATGGTGTTTATTGCACAATGTGGTCTATTGTTTCAAATGACAACAGTTTTTCCACTTCTTGTGTACATAGTGCGAGTACAAATATTTTCTTATTTTTGGAATTCTATTGATTTTGGGTAAATATCTTGTACGTTTAATTTAGTGTGTAATATATAGATCACATCTATATATTATGAAGATCTGATTTGTTCTTTCTCATGTAAATCTTATTCATTCTCTCTCTTGTAATCTCATTCACTCTTATTTAATCTCATTAATTTCCCCTTTTCTTTTATTAGTCTTGTGTTTTTTTAAATGTTCCTCTTTTTATTTATCTTTATTGTTTTAAAAATTAAAGAATTAAAAATATGTGTATTGTATGCATTTTTTAGATGCCAGTAAAGAGAGACAATTTTATAATGTAGGAATGTTGTAACCTTATTTCTATAGGTACTTACCAATTATCCTCTTAAGCACTCTATCTGTATCAACTGGAGTGTTTATGGCAGTGTTTTATCCACAAGTAGGACACATTATAAGGTAAATTAAATGGGTTTTTAAATCTTAAATATTTTGGTTGGGAATTTAACCACCAAATTTTTTAGTAAATTTAACCGCAAAGCTGGAATCAGTATTGATTCCCTTCAAAAGCTTAGTTAAGGTCAAACTAGATATTTTTTTTTATAAATATATTTTTAAATTTATATATAAATTTGTAATATATAATATATAATACAAATATATATATATGTGTATGTGTATATATATATATATATATATATATATATATATATATATATATATATATATATATATATATATATATATATATATATATATACATATATATATATATATATATATATATATATATATATATATATATATATATATATATATATATATATATATATATATATATATTAAATTTCATTTTGAGTTATCATTATTATCTTTTTTAAAAATCAATACAAATTTCAACTTTTGTTACATTGTCTTTGTTAATTTGGTTTGTTAAAATATATTTTTGCTCTTTTCAATAAATGTTTTTATCAATTTATAAAAGTGAGTTACTTAACTGCTCAGTTGCCAAGCTATTTAACTCAAGATACTCAAAAAAGTAGAAATTTTGAATGAGTCTATCTATAAAGGAGAAATTTCTAGTTTTTTTGGTTAAAAATTTACAATGTTTAAATTTGTATGAAGTTTGCCAGTTGAAAATTTATTTTTATTCAATATAATATTTTTTTAGTAATGGTAGCATTTGATCTGAAAGTTTTAAAAACACGAAAAACTTGGACTTTAGTACAATTTTCAAATGTCATTTTTGCAGATCTTTTGTTCCTTTTATTTATTTATTTTCAGAAAAATTGTCTTTAATATCTACTACAAGTTTGATATCTCACTCTAGAACATCACTATAGTAACCAGTTGTGAGGATAGATTTTTTTTTTTCTTTTCTTTTTGCAACTTTTTTTCAGTTCTTTTTTTTCAGTTCTCTTTTTCAGTTCTCTGTATAATTTTAGGCGATGAAAGAGCAAACATCTTTTTGCCAATGAAAGACTGTAAAATGACATGACAAAGAAATCTTCAATGAAAAATTTACTAGTTTTGTTACCATCTTGTTTTTTGTCTCTATAACTAACATATTTTTTGGACAAGAGTCTGCTTCTCAGATCATAAGTTTCATTTAATAGATGCTTTTTTTTTTATTTTTTGTTTTGTTTGTTTGATTTGTTCTTTTGCACATTTATGGTCTGTTGGTTAAAACTTTTATTTCAAATTTTAAAAATGTGGATTTTTGTGGATGTAGAAAATGAAATATGGAGTGTTGACTGAGAAGAATGGGTATAGCAGCTGTTGTTCATAAGTTAATAAGTTTTGACATCTCGCATGCTGATTAAAACTGGCAAAAACCTTTTTTAACATATATGCAAAGAAAAGCTCCACCAGCTTTTGATATTCCTCAAAAATATTTTATTTTTATTATTCCATTGAAATAATATTTTTATCATGTGGCTAATATGTTATTCTAAGTTCTTTTTCATTTTTTATGGTTTTGTTTTATTTTTTAGTTTATTTACAAAATAGATTTATTTGCAAAAAATAAACAGGGAATTATAATTGGCACTAAACAGGGGACTAGCTAAATAAGTATATATGCATCTATTTACCTATTTGTCGTGAAATTAGTTTCAAATTTTTCTGATCACTCTTTTATGTGATTTCGCTACTAATCTGGTGATTTTATGTACAGTAATTTAGGGGAAGTTTAATATAAGTTTATATAGGATAGGTATAATAAGTTTTTTAAATTGTAAGATAGTAATAATTTAAAATAATTTGAAGTGAAAATTTTGGACTTTGTCTTTAAAATATTATCAAATGGTTTTTTATGTTAAAATTTACATTATTATGTATTTGTAAATGAGGTCTATAAACATAATGTAAATGGTTTTAATTTTGATTCTGTTTTAGTATACGAACAGTAATCACATTATATTATATATTAACTAGATACAATATTAAGGAGATAGAAATCACATTATATTATATATTAACTAGATACAATATCAAGGAGATAGAAATGTGTTATTGGGAGTCATTATTATATTATCAAGGGCAGTTAAATGCAATAGAAAGTGGAAATAGCGCAAGGAAATGCTGCATTAAAACTCTTTGAACTATGTTAAAAAATAAACTTAGAATATTTAATATTTTATTAATTACATAATATAGAATAAATGTAATAATATTTGTAGTACAAATATTTATTCTATATTATGTAATTAATTAAATATTCTAAGTTTATTCTTTAAAATAGTTCAAAGATATTTTTATAGTGTTAGATATTAATATACTGTGTACAAATTTTGTACGCAGTGTATTAATATCTAACACTATAAAATATTTTAAAAAATAAAATAAAGTATTTTTGCAGGCAATGCTTATGACCAGGTCTACTTTTGGATACTTTTGGATTTTTGTGATTTACCCAGCATTGTTAAACTGTAAATGTAGACTTTTAGAGCAGTTAATTGATACAAGAGTTAATGATAGTATAACTTCACAAAATAAACAAAAAAAAGCTATCCATAAAAAAAAAATTCATGTTACTAATGTACAACCCAGTCGACAAAATTTACTTTTTTTCACGTGAACTTCTCGTGTCGCGGGAACATGAATTTGACATTAAATACGGGATACGAAAACACATGATAATAACCCAAATTATTTCGAAAATTTTTGAGTAAAATTCATGTCTCAGAAACTACTTTTACTTTGTTTTATTGGAAGGTATTTTTCACGAGAAAAATATAGTTTTAAAGCGTGAATGCAACGTCTTAAAATGAGTTAAAACTAGTATTCAAAACCTAATTTTAACGTGTAATTTTCGAGTTATTCATGCTGCAAAAAGGATTTTTTATATAGTTTAAAGACTTGTATAAACACGTAAAAATCACAAGTTTTTGCTTGTAACAATAACTCCTAAATAAACTTAAAAATTAATTTAATTAGAAATAAACTTTAAAAGTTTATGTAGAAAATTTTCTAAATAAACTTATTTTAAAGTTTATTTCTAATTAAACTAATTTTTAAGTTTATTTAGGAGTTATTTTTACAAGTAAAAACCTCTGACTATTTACCTGTTATTGGTTTATACAGGTCTACTGTTTAAAAACAACAACTTTTTTTCCAAATATAAGTGTATTTCATATAATACCATTCAAAAAGCAATTAAATATAGATTATCTAACATGGAATCTTTATTAATAACAAATCCACACAAATAAAATATGCAGCATTTAATAAATTTTATTTGACATATTGTTGTAAAACTGTTAAACTTACAAAACTATTAATCATTTTAATAAATAACTTGTAGTTTTTTTTATATCTTAAACACCATGGATATCGTTTTAAAATAAGAACTGTATTTGCTTTAGTGGTTAGGGCATGTTAAGCAACTTGTCTTGGTTTAGATATGTTGGGCGATACTATCGGAGCATACGTTCCACTTCACAATTCTCTAAACCAACAAGTTCTCAGTGATGTGGCTTAATAATAGTAGTAATAATCATTAAAAATATTATTAACTGAATAATTGAACAAATTAATTATAAAACATACCTAACTTTCCATTTTCCATGGTTCAATTTTCAAATCCTAACATGTAACACAATTTATTTTACAGAAAACTTATACATTTTTTTATTTTAATAAAAAAAAGCTAATAAAAACCTAAACACTTACCGTTAATTTAACTTCGATATTAAAGACGAGGGAAAACTGCTGAAATTTACATTGCCATGTCTATTTTTTCCTTATTTGCAGGCAAATCCTTTCTGAATAAACAAATATTTATTATAAAACTAATTAAAAAATTATATTAGAATTAGAAACATATACAATGAAAATGTAAAAATAAAAAACAGAATGATAAAGATCTTACACTTTTACGACTTGATTAATATATCAACAAAGATATCTAAAAAAAAAACAATTGAAAAAGTTATTTTGATTGTATTGAATATATTTTATAACAATATTGTCATGAGTGTTAGGCTGTAAACATTTGCAGCACTCTGATCAATTTTACAAAGTATATCATTATATCATATCAAAGTATATCATTCAAATTAATAATCAGAAATCATAGATCCTTTATTGTTGTTTCTCTCAAAAATATGATTTGAATTAAAAAAATAGTACCTTCTAGGGGGTAGCATTAGGACTTTTCTTTAAATTGGTGCAATAATTCAGCTTGAGGCTGTAATAAACCAATTGGAGGTACAACTACACATGACCGTAAAAAATGTCCCATTTAAAAAACTAACGTAACATAAAAATAACGAATAAAAATACCAGATAGTTTGGTAGCCAATTCTTGCTATAATCTGTCAACTTTTAGTATTTTTCTTATGATAAATTATTTTTATTATTATTAAATTGTTTACCTTACATATACATACCTTACCATAACAAACATTATATATAAATTGTTTTAACAAAAATAAAGACAATAGTATTCTTTTAAAAATAAAACAGCTTTATATATTTTAATATCTACATACATGTCATATTTGTAACCTTACAATAAACTTATAATAAAAAGATGGCTGGCTAATCATACAATATTAACTAAATAACATCAAGCCATTTTAGTGAGCTTTCTGCATTAATCATATACGTCAACCTTTCCAAAACTTAGCTAGAAAGCTACTTGCTCATATAGAGTGCCTATATAAAACATATACTATGTAATGTATTTTCATTGTGAAACAGGGTTGACTTGTTCCTGTACAGGAAGGTAAATGCAAAGGCGCTTAATTTAATAACCAGATAATATTTTTTGGGTGTTTTAGCAGTTATCTTCACGTGAAAGAAACTACTAGTACGAGAAGACGTTTTACTAGTTTGTTCACATAAACTTAACTTTTAAAAATCTTTTCGGCAATTTACTTTTAAAAATTTTCCGTGAAAATGAGGAAAACTATCTTCTTCTGGTTTTTTTTACAAAAACAGTCTTTTCCCTAAAA